GTAAGTAGATATGGGAAATATATCTACTGCAAACATGTTTTTAAAATCAAAATACAAAACAAACTTTTGGAAGGAATTCGATTTTAGCTAAATTAAAACCAACAACATTAAGTAGTTGTGTAAGACAGTTGATAAATATAACCCGCTGTTATTTACCTCTGTTGCAGTGACGTCAGACAAGTAAAAACCCACGTGAGACATGTCTATTTCTGTAGCAAACTTCACTTCATCAACACATTTCTGAGTCATCGTTTTTAGGCCTAATAAAATTGCATCTCCAGTGCTGGTTGTATTAAGAGTTTTGTGGGAATTAAATTCACCAGCTTGCATATTACGTCATAATGTCTTATTCTTTATTTGATATCTCAACTGTTTTTACCGAAATTTTCTTCATACATTTTACCTCTTCTTATGTGTGATCAGTCTAATTAGATATGCTCGGAACTGTGATCAGCCTAATTAGATATGCTCGGAACTGTGATCAGCCTAATTAGATGTGCTCGGAACTGTGATCGGCCTAATTAGATATGCTCGGAACTGTGATCAGCCTAATTAGATATGTTCGGAACTGTGATCAGCCTAATTAGATATGCTCGGAACTGTGATCAGCCTAATTAGATATGCTCGGAACTGTGATCTGCCTAATTAGATATGCTCGGAACTGTGATCAGCCTAATTAGATATGCTCGGAACTGTGATCATCCTAATTAGATATGCTCGGAACTGTGATTAGCCTAATTAGATATCAGAAATATTTTGGTTGTTTGTAGTTAACACAAAGCTGCACAATTGAATATCTTTACTCTGCCCATCACGGGTATCGAAACCCGTTTTGTAGCGTTTTAAGCCCGCTTACATACCGCTGTGCCGCTATCAGAAATAGTACATTTAATACAGAAAATCAATGTACATGTCTCGATTATAATCTTCAAAACATTGTAATACAGAAGTTTTATTAATAATAAGTAACTTTACAGGCTTATAACTCTCAAATCCAGGGTTCGATTCCCCGCGGTGGGCACAGCAGATAGCCCAATGTGGTTTGGCTCTAAAACAAAGAAACAATTACTACTAAGCATTAATTATAATTTACACAGACTTAACTCACTCGCTAAACGACACCTACCGTTAAACGTATAAAATCAGTTACAGCTTAAAACGCTTGATTAACTGACGACTACTGTTAAACGTTATAAAA